TATTAAGTGCCTACCATATGCAAGGCACTTGGCAGAGCTGGGAGTAGCCTGGACAAACACAGAAGAGCTCATCACTAGAACATGAGTCACTGGGTGACCCTATGGCTGAGAAAATTCATGGAGATTGTTTATTAAGGAGTTGGGGGCAGGGCTGCAATATGTAATGTGGAAGAAGCCCCCCTCAATAACAGCAGAAGACCTTGGAGCTTGCAAGCATGGTGGAAATAGGAGGGAGCAAAGTTGGTGGCTGGCATAAAGATCTTTCTTGAGGACTCCTAATGGCATTGTCTTTGCATAGCACCAAGCAGAGCTCTATGCAGAGCTGGGAAAGAGGAGTCAGTGTGTTCAGCCCCTGGGGTATTTCGTGTCGAACTTGAGAATTTAAATGGGGCATTTAAAAAAAGGAATCCTTCTTGCATACAAGTATGCTCTTTGAGTTCAGGTATAAAGAGATATTTGAGTTTCTATAGCAAAGAACATTGACCAGAATTCTAGTCCTGGCCTTGACTCTTAACTGGCTCAGTACTGGACAAGTCAGAATCACAAAATCTCCAAGTTGGAAGGGACTTGGAAGTCATCCATTCCAATTGTTACTTGAATAGGAATTCCTTCTACAAAATCTCCAACAAGGGGTTATCTACATTTGGCCTGATGACCTCTCAGAAGGGAGAGTCTACTACTTCCCAAGGTAGCCCATTGCATTTCCAGATAGCTGATGTTGTGAAGAAATTGTTTCTTACCTTAAGCCTAAATCTTCCTCTCTGCATCTTCTACCCGCTGTTTTTAGTTCTGCTCATTGGAACGGAGCAGAACCAGCCTGCTCCATCTTCTACTTGACAGGCCCTGGAAGGGTTGAAGGTTTGCTGCTGTTGTTCAGTCATTTTAATAAAGTCCTACTTCTCTGTGACCCCATTTGGGGTGTTCTTGGTAAAGGCACTGGATTGGTTTGCCATTCCTTCTCCAGCTCATTTTACAGGTGAGGAAACTGAGGCAAGCAAGGTTAAGTGATTTGAAGGTATCTACAAAGTTTTCTCTTCTTCAGGTTAAGTAGTCTCAGTTTTTTCAATTGATCCTGGTACTGAGGGGTCTTGATGTCCTTTGCTATTATCATACTTGCTCTTCTCTGGACCCTCTCACAAATGATTTAAACTTTCTGGAACTCAGTCATCTTATCTATAGAACAGGAGAAACCATGCCTGCTTGGCCACAGACTCTAAGATGTTATATACACACAGAAGAGATTATTGTTAGTTTTAATTTACATTAGAGAATTTTGAAAGTTATTAAATACAATACAAATGTAGAGTTCAGTTACTCTGGGAATTTCTACATAATAACAACTGACTGCACATTTATCATTTGGACCTCAGGACAACCCTGTGAGGTAGATTCCACAGATATTATTATCTGTGTTTGACAAGTAAGAAGATGGGGGCCCGTACATGAAAATCATCATCTATTTCTGCCCCCATCAGCAGGTATATGTCAGAGTTCTTCACTGGGCTCTTTTCTCTTCTGTCCTGTCTCCTGCTCATCTCATCCACTTTCATGAGTTCAACTAATATCTCTATGCAGATGATTTTCAAATTTATCCAGGCCTTATCTTTCTCCTTATTCCCAGTCTACACATCCAGTTATCTGATGGACATGTCCACCTGTCAAAGCCATTTCATAACAATGTTAAGATATTTAATTTGTAATATTATAAATATTGTTAGATGTAACCCACGTAAAAATTCTTTGTGGAGAGTCCTCAATTTTTTAAGAGTGTTAAGGCATCTCAAGCCCCAAAAGTTTGAGAACTGCTCTTCTTTTTTTTTTTTAGAGATACATGCCTTTTTTTTTTATTAGAGATACATATAAACTTTTTCTGTTCTTCTTTGCATATGAAAATGTTCATCTTTGCTGGTATTTGTCAAGTTCAGAATAATAAAAAATTAAAACTGTTAAAACCAATTTCTGCCAGACTGCTTTCTAGTTTTCCCAGTAACTTTTGTTAGAATTGGTCCTTTAATAGTTAGAGTTTGCAGATGGTGGAGTGAAAGCAGTGACTTGCTTGAGCTCTCCCCCAAACCACTCCAAATACCCATAAAAAATGGCTCTAAACAAATAATAGTTAGAGTTTGCAAGAGAACTGCTCTTCTGAACAAACTGACCTACCTGCTCTATGCTCCTAACTCTGGGCCTTTGCAAAGACTGTCCCCTCAGCCAGGAATAAAAATAAAATCAACATTTAATTTTCAAAGCTGTCTTCTTGTCTCTGATTCATTCCAGCCCTCTTCTCATTGGGGAAGGGACCCTATCAATAAAATCCTTTTCTCCTTCCCACCCAAACCATTAAACACACACACACATACACACACACACACACACACACACACACCCTTGTACTAAATATGAATGATTAAGCAAAGAAAAAAATTCCTGCATTGCCAGTATCCGAAAAATAAGTTTCATTGTATATCTTGAGTCCATTATGTTTCTGTCAGCAGATGAGTACCTGCTTCATCATTAGCCTCTGGAATCTTGGTTGGTCATTGCATTGTTCAGAATCTGGAAGAAATCTTAGAGATCTAACCAATCTGATTCATTTTACAGATGAGGTAACAGGCCCAGGAAAATTAAGTGGCATACTCAATGCCTCATACATGGCCAGTAATAGAGTTATGATTCAAACCCATATCCTCTGACTCCATCCTCAGGCTCCTAGCTCCTAGTGTAGAAGATTCTACACCAATTCTCATTCCCTGAAATTCAGAGCACTTGGCTTTTTGAATTCAAGGTAGAATTTTGATTCTGAACAGAATTTCATCCTGTGTTTATTCAAAACCCATCAGACCTACATTACTATCATTTGCTGCATGTGTGTTTTAAGCTCTGAATATCTTCCCAAGGCCTTGTATCAGAATTAAGGGAATGAGGCCCTTAAGACGATTGGAGGGGAACACCATTGCCATTCTTCAGATAAGTTCTTTTCCTGCTGGTCTGCAAAGCTAAATAAAAGGAAATACTCAATTGCTGGGATAGGTGGTTCTGGATCTTCCATCACCTTATGCCTAATACTGGGCCTTGAGAATGGAATGGAATGGATAAAATTTCACTGGGTTTCATTCTTTTATTAAACAAATCCTTATTTAGTGCCTGTTGTATGTAAGGCACTCTTCTGAATATATTTTTGTTGTTGGGTTGTTTTTTTCAGTCCTGACTCTTTGTGGCCCCATTTGGGGCTTTCTTGGTAAAGATATTAGAATGGTTTGCCATTTCCTTCTCCAGCTTATTTTATAGATGAGGAAACTGAGGAAAACAAGGTTAAATGGCTTGCTCCAGGGTCACACAGCTATTAAGTGCCTGAGGCCAGATTTGAACTCAGGAACTTGAGGTCCTGACTCCAAGCCTGGTGTTCTATCCATTGCACCACCTAGCTGCCCTCTGACTGTATAGGGAGAGAGGGAAAAGAGGAAGAAACACACATCTGAGTCCCTCCCCTCAAGAAACTTACAGACTATGTTTTTCATGACAGCAGATGCGGAGTTATATCAAATTGCTGCCTTCTCAATGAGGGGAGTGGGGGAAGGAGAGAGGGAGAGAATTTGGAACTCAAAATTTTAAAAAATATTAAAAATTTTTACATGTAATTGGGAAAAAAAAAGTAAAAAATTAGAAGTAAAAAGAAAGAAAGAAACTTGTGGACTATTTAGGGAGTTTGGTTTTATGTGGTATGTAGGTGGTATAGTGGCTAGAGTACTGAACCTGGAGTCAGGAAGACCTGAATTCGAATTTGGCTTCTGATACTTAACAAGCTATGATCCTGGGTAAGTCACTAAACCTCTATTTACCCTTCTATAAAATGGGGATATCAATAGCTCCTATCTCCCAGGGTTGTGAGGATCAAATGAGATGTTTGTAAAGTGCTTATTAGCACAGTGCCTGGTATATAGTAAGTGCTTTATAAATGTTAGCTATTAGTAATAGTATCAAGAACACTGAACTTGGAGTCAGGAAGAGTGGATTTGAGTCCTTTCTTTTTTAAATTGACTTGGAAAAATCACTTGACTTCCGGACCTCAGTCTCCTCCTTTGTCAAATGAGGCATTTGGACTAGATTGGGGGGTTTTAACCTGAGGTCTGTGACTTTTTTTTTAGAAATATATTTTATATTAATTTTGATATTCAACATAATTAATTTTCTTTGTAATATTTAATATTTTATCTTATGCATTTAGAAACATGATTTTGGCAAGGAGCCATTGGTTTCACTACAGTGCTGTGATATCTATGAAAACAAACATTGTAAAGAATCCATGGGCTAGATTATCTCTAAGATCTTTTCCTCTCTGCTGCTAGAATCCAATGAGCCTAATAAATATAATACTACAAGGCAGAATGGTCAAGGCTGTGAAAGAGGCACAAAGGAAGTGATATGAGGGTTCATTTTATAGTCAAGAGGTAAAGTGACTTGCCCAAGGTCACACAGCTAGTATGGGTCTGCAGTCATACTTGAACTCAGGACTTCCTGACTGCAGATTCAGAGCTCTATCCATTGCACCACCTAGCAGCCTCATAAGAGTTTGTGATTCACCAACAAGTTTTCTTTTTGTTTTTCAGTTCCCACTGACAGTGTTGCATTTGCTCCAGGCATTTCTCCTCCCAGTGGCCCTCTCTCACCCATCATCTTCTTTGTTACTATGCAGGGCACTTACAGAAATTGAGGCTGGCTGCTCCTTTTCTCAGAAGGCAGCTTCTGATCACACCTGCTGGAGCCACCTACTAGAAACATCTAGCAATTAAAAGCTGGGCCTGAAGCCAAGAACTGTGATTTTTATTTATTTCAGCATAGAGGTTGCAGAGTCTCCGCAGCCTAGCAGACTGATTTAATAAAAAAGCAAGCAGACTCAAAAAGAAGTTTGCAGCCTGATGTACATGCTTGGGGCTTCCGCTCCAGAGACTTATTAAGCATACATGGGTAGGTGAATGACAGCAGTTGTCTATCTTCTCTTTCAGGGGTATGGTCTAGTGGTCTGGCCTTAAGACTTGGAGTCTGGGAGCCTGAAAATTCTCATCTCAATTCTGATTCTGAATTTTCTTGGCCTTAGGTAAGTTATCCCATGATGACTGGATTTGGATGCGAAGAAGGGTCAATAGGAGAGGTGCAGAGGGGAAGATAGGGGACAAGGAGTTTAGATTCAATCATATTTCAGGTCCTTTTCTGCTCTGAATCTACAATCCTATGATCCAGTAAATCCCAGAGATATCATAACATTTGAAGAGAACTATTATTTCCCTTCCTGAGGAAATAGCTATTGACTTATTAATAATAACAAAAGTCCCTCACATTAGCCCAACAGAGTGCTTTCATGTACATCATCTCCCTTGATTCCTACAACAGTGCTGTGAAATAGACAAGGCAGATGTTATTACTTCCATTTTACAGATAAGGAGACTTAGCCTCAGACATTTGAAGTGACTTGTCTTAGATCCAGTGTGGTAGGGTAGGAAGAGAATTAGCTCCAGAGTCAAAGGACCTGGGTTTGAATTCTGCCTCTGACACTTTCAGAGGCACAGCAAGTCACTTACCCAGTCTGGGCCTCAGTTTCCTCATCTGTACAATGTTGATGTTGTGCTAGATGGCATCTGAAGTCTCTTCCAGTTCTAAATCTACTAGGCTATGATTGCATGAGCAGTGAGAGACAGCATCAGGAATGGTACCCAGGTCCAGCCCACCAGTGATGCCTCTCTTCCCTTCTCCCAGACACTAAAATAGCCAGAGGCCCGTTAAAAGAGGTGGTCGTATCAGGTTCGATCTCTGAATTCCTCAGGATTTGGAGGGCCACTTACTCTTTTTCCTTAAACAGCTAGATGGTACAGTGGATAGAGTGTTACACCAAGAGTCAGGAAGGCATGAGTTCAAACCAGGCCTAGCTGTGTGACCCTGGGTAAGTCACTTAACCTCTATCTGCCTCAGTTTCCTCATCTGTAAAGTGGGGATACAAGCACCTACCTTCCAATGTTGTTGTGAGGATCAAATAAGATAATTTCTCTAAAGCATTTTGTAAGCCATAAAGCACAATATAAATGCTTGTTGTTATTATTATTATTATCAGCCTTACTGAGACCCAGAAGATAGTCAAAGTTACTGTCTTCTTTAGTAAGTAAGAACAACGGCCATTAACCTGTTTACCTGTTTCCTCTTCTACCGAGTTTGTAATTTTCTATAAATGACCTAGTAAAATTTAATGTGTTCCTCCAGTCAGCTTGGATGTGCTCAGAGGTTGCCTCAGAATATCAAGCTGCTCCACATTAGCTAGGGGTGCCTGAGAGCATAGAACAAGAATTAAAAAAAAAAGTCATGGGAATGTTCTATTTTAAATAGTTGAATGTTCTCTCCACTATTGATGCTCCCCAAGTCTCCCCTTCTTCCTACCCTAGGCAGCTGTTGTCTATAAATCTTCTATAGGAATTTGTTTGCTTGACTAGGCACGTTTTATAAGGAGGTGAGGAAAGAAAATAGATTTTCTTTCATTGAAAAGATAAAATTATTTTCTAAAAAAAATCTCCTACAATGGGTCTGCCCAATAAGCTGGAGGCCTTCTTTTAAAACTTTTGCTATTTTGTGGATGCCTGTGGAGCAGCTTAAAACATCCATTATCCTTCATTTTCACAGCATGAGTGTCCCTTCACCTTTTTCCAGTCTTTTGTAAATAGACATTACATAGATAGATAGATGATAGCTAGATAGCTGTTACCTGTCCGTGGTGCTGTGCTTTACATTACTTTCACAAGTAAGTCGCTATTGGTTGTGGTAGGGAAAGGAAGGACTACAAGTAAGCATTTATTAAGTGCCTACTATATGCCAGGCAGTTGGCTAATTGCTTAACAAATATCATTTCATTTGATCCTCACAACAGCTCTGGGAGGTAGGCTCTAGTGTGATCCTGATTTTACAGTGGAGGAAATTAAGACAAACAGAGGTTATGAGACCGGCCCAGTAAATATCTGAGGCCAGAGTTAGATTCAGGTCAGAGTTCTATCCACTGTACCATGTAGCTGCCTGCCTATACTCATCATGAGTCTTTCCATTGCCCTTTGGGAGATCTGCAATTTTGATTCTTCTAAATCATCCCGTAATTATAGAATCACTGTGAGAATGTTGCTTTTGAAAAAAAAGTACTTCGGCAGCCGTGAGCAGTGCATGGAATCATATTGAAAAGGGCTCTACTGTTTCCTAATTGGGATCTATTTGCTTTCCTCCTATTCAGTTCTAGGCTAAGCTCATTATCGATCAGTGCCCATCCCAGTTCATTATCTACTTGCAGTGTCCATCCCAGCAATAGGGACTGAAGGCTAACTCTGTTAACAGCCAGTTTGGCTATATCTCATAATCTGAACAATATAGCCTCCATGTCCAGTTAGTTCCCTCCCCGGCCCCAGTGTGAATGACAACGCCAGTTTCTTGAATGACAGTAGATTTAGGCAAACAGTTATCAAGCAAAATGTTTCCATTTCCATCTGTGTTAAGAAAGAATCTGAAATAATAATGGCATAGTATATAAAATTAGGTAGATTAGGAATGGAAGTTGGAGAGAGGGGTGTTCCTTTTTGCGATTATCTCGTTATGAATCAAGGCAAAGCAAATATAATTCCATCTGTCAGTGATAACATTTGTTCAGTTCTATCAGATTGTGAGTTCCCTGAGGCCAGGGACCCTACTGTAGCTGAGTATATTTCTCCCAATCCTGATTGCACTGTTAATACTCAGTCATTTTCTGATGAACTGAATTATTGATTTACATCAAAATATTTGCAGCAGAGCTTTTTTGTGGTAACAAAGAACTAGAAATAAAGTAGATGACTATCAACTGGGAATGACTAAACAAATTGTCCTGCATGAATGTAATGGAATATTACTGTGTTGTAAGAAACAATGAATAAGAAAAATATAGGGAGTCATGAGATGACATATGAACAGATGCACAGTGAAGTAAGCATAACTGGGAAAACAATATACATAATGACAACAACAATGAACATGGAGTTAATTGAATTGATGTTCATTTGTTAGCATGATCTCAGTGCACTTCGGGAAAAATGCCCCAAATAGGGTGAAAATGAAAGGATCGTTTATTTGGAGATGAAAGAAAAGACCTAAATTTAGGAATAACAGCTTCAAAAAAACAAAGGGAAAATACAAAAAAAAAATTTATAGCATCCTCCAGTTCCCTAAAGGGAAACTCTGCTCATCAAATACTCCTTAGAGTCCCCAGAGATCCAAAGGGACAAAGCTCAAATTTGATCTATCATTATAAGTCAGAGGGGAAAGTAGAGAAATGGGAACACTGAACATCTAAATATAACCATGTATGGGTGTAGAAACCCAGTTAGTTTTGGTTCTGCTCTTAGGACAGGGATATGGACTGCACCTGTGATTTTATTGGTAAAGGGAACTCCAAGGTCAGGAAACCCCACTCCCCCTCCCTCTTTTCCAGTGTGGGTCAGCACCTTTTCTGCAACTTACAGGCTCAGAATAGAGGTTCTTAACCTGGGGTCAATAGACACCAAAGGAGTCTGTGGATAGATTTCAGGAGGTCTGTGAACTTGAATGAGGGAAAAATTACATCTTTATTTTCGCTCTCCTTTGTTTTTATTTGTAATTCTACATATTTTTTAAATGTAATTAAAAAACATATTCTGAGAAGACCTCCCTAGGCATCACCAGGCTGACTGCCAAAGGGGTCCGAGACATAAAAAAAGGTGAAGAACCCCATGATGAAGAGCATTGCCCACAGCACTGAGAAGTGGTGATTTCCCAGGTTCACAGCTGGTATGTGGCTGAAGGGCAACTCAATCCTAGTTCCTTCTGGTTCCAGGGCTGCTTCACTACACGCTATGCCAGACTGCCTCTCACTCTACTGTCAGAGTTGACAAAATTCTCAGTCTGCTGTGATGAATGAATGGATCTTCACTAACTATAAATGAAGCTAAGGGCAAAGGGAGTAGAAGTGAGACTCTTCTCACATTAATTCCTGTGACTGTAGAATCATAGAAAAGCTAGGAGAAGTTTTGGGGATCGTCTTGTCTAGCTATGATTCTGAACATTTTTGAATATGAAGACCTCTTTTAACTCAACACATTTTCAGACTCCCATGGGATTGGAGTTAAACTATTGGTGTCTATTGATTGAGAAAATGCACACTAACAAGTGTCCATGAATTCAACAAGTAAATTTGTTTTGATAGTCTTCATAGCTCTAGGTACATTTGATAAATCATGATACACATATCTGCGACTTTTTTTTAACCTGTGGATGGTATATTTGCATATTTGGGGATCTGTAAGCCAATCATTGGAGAAACACTGATCTAATTCAGGCCCTTGATTTTACAGATGAAGAAACTGAGTTCTAGAGAGGTGAGGTACTTCCCCTAGGGTCACCCAGCAAGTCAGTGGCAGAGCTGAGTCTAGAACCCATGGTGGCCTTTGCATCCATATGCAGTACTACTGCAACATGTAAGCCATGTGGCAAAACAAATGCTATAAGCTTCATCTGGTGAAAGGGAAGAAAGAAATGCCTGGGAGTGGGGAGGAAGCCAAATGAAAATGCTTCTGTCTTTGTCATTAATTGTTTATGCCACACCCCCAGGTTTTGTGATTTGTGATGTGGTAGAAGGACAATTGCCTGGACTGGGAGTTAAGAAAACCTCAATTGTAGTCCCAGTTCCTCTATCTTGGGAAACTTACTTCCCCTCCCTGGGCCTCAGTCTCTTTATCTGTGAAATGGAGAGGTCAGACTAATGGCCCCTGAGGTCTCCTCCTCTTCTAAGTCTGTGATCTCATGCTCTGTAAAATGAGGAGGTTGGATGCATGTGGCCTCTCAAATCTTTTCCAGCTCGACCATTCTAGGGTTCTCTTTGGTGGCTGGGCTGGGTTGACCCAATCTCTCTCCTCCCTCAGCCTCACCCTTAATCAGGCATTAAAGCTGTAGACCAGATGGAGTAGGGGCACACCCCTACTGTTCAGCTGCCACACCTCCGAAAGGACACTGGTTACTTAATGTGTGTGCATTTTCTCCCACATTTTATTTCTTTTCATCAAGGGT